CCGAGACCGATTGCGCCCTGGGCAAAGGACGGAACAGTATGGAAATAGGATGGAAAATACGTATGTCTACAGTTTGGAATTTTAGCATTTGAGCATTAAAATTGACAAAATAAATTTATTCTTTATTTTACTTTTTAACTGTACGGAGCTCGCTACGGCGTAGCTCCGTACAGTTAAAACCTGCCGCAAGTAGTGGCTTTGACTGCATTGAAGTTGATCAAAAAGCGACTTCCCCACACGTCAAGCATCGCTTCCAGCTGAGTGAATACCCGTTCTACAGACATTAAAGGGATTGTCCGGTCAAATTTTGTATCCGAGAAAACAATTGAATATCATTGTTATTGCCTCGAGACGCATCGTACGTGCAATATCTGAATTTTATATGGCCCTCTGCGTGAGTAATTCAATTTATACTGCTCCAATCGCATTCTAGCGTAAACGCGGTTTTCGTTGGCAACATTGAAGCTCTGACGTCACAAAACACAAAGCGAGCATTTTTGTCTCGTCGATTGCCTGTGAGTGATTGTTGTGCTCGACTTGTTTCGATTGTTGTGCTCGACTTGTTTCGTGGTTGGGTGAGATTTTTGTTTGCGTGGTTGGGTGCCATATCCACCGGGCAGCACATGCGAGCCAAGACATGACGTTCCACACTTTTCCGCGAGACGTGCAGTGACGAGCAAAGTGGATCGTCGTCGTGCGTAGGGACTGGGTTCCCGTTGTGGGAGCCACTGGTTTCCCTCCCCCGAGAAGGCGTAAGCCGCGGACGTGCCGGCCGGAGTTGCCTGGCTTCGAGCTGGCTCGTCCCGTATCGTGTTGGAGAGGGTGCGCCACCTTGCTGGCCTACTCTCTCGCACTCCTCCCGCGTCTCCCCGATTTCGGGGGAACAGCGACATCGCGCGAGGGAGAGTCGGGCCTGCCCTCCGAGTGGACGGCCGCGTGGTCGAGGAGTCCTGGATCGGACTCTGGGCGACGGGTCGAGTCGCGGCGCGAGCATCGTCCGACCGGCGATGACTCCACGCTAGCGATTCCCCGGGCTCTGACAGTCGGCGTCCCCACTACCTGCGGACGTCCGTCCGCCGAGAGCCCTGGCCCCGAACTCCTGCGACGACGGGTAGTGGCGTGAGCTCGCCCGACCGGCGATGACTCCGCTCGCAATTACCCCTTTGGCTCTCAGGTCGGCGGGCGATGCGGGCACACTGTGTCCGCGGCGGCTCGCTTGACCGCAGTGTCTTGTTGGGGACCCCTGGTACTCAATAAACGCTGCTGGATACCGGGATCATCGTTGTTGGCATGGCGTTGACCGAACCCGGCGCGGCGACCACCCTCGCTGGTAGCCGTCGGCCGCGCGGTGGGACGGGCATCGGATTTCCCCTTTGAGAACCGGAAAGGTCGCCGGGCGTGAAAGGTACGTGATCGGCCCTCCTTTTAATTCCCACACCGTCAAGATCGAGATCTCGCTTATGCAGCAATCATCTCAGAGAAGAAAGCTACGAGCTGAGCTCTAAGCGGACAGAAGGGTTGTAAGCTGAGGTGTGATGCTGTGCCAACGATATTGAACTACGTCCACCCACTCCTCGCCCAAATCGGGTCAGTCAATTTAGGTCTGTTCGATTCCCCTGAACTGGCTGACAGCGTCCATGCAGAGGCAGACGACAAGAGCAGACGGCGATAGCAGACGACAATCCTCGTCCGCCTCTGCTCGCGGTTCCATTTTTCGCAGCTCTTGCTTAAATGTCTGCAATGTTTAACAATAACGCCGATGCGGAGGTTGCATTTCCTCTCATTTATGATAATAACGTACCCGCGGTGGATGCGGAATTGAGATCATAACCGAGGGTAGAAATTTGCTTGATTATGATATTCTGAAAGCGTTTTGGGCACCTGCTCGCGTAGGTTTGGCTTCCTGTGGTGAGTGTTGAAATATTGGCTCGCGTAAATTGTTTCTTTTTGATGCTATGCGGAGATCCAAAGTGTTGATATTCTTACTTACAGACACAGGAAAGGTATTGCCCTCATGATAGTCCCCGCCTTCAGTTGCTCTTGGATGCATACTGAAGATCCGATACATTTCAGAGGTCTGGGATTTAGTGCGTTGACACTCGCGTGTCCCCGTAGCTGAGCATAATACTGCATGCTTTGTCCGCTGGTATCTGTGGACGCCCACCAACGGGCCTGGGAAAAACGCCGAGAATCGGCATTTTTGCCGATTCTCGCTTCAACTTGACGCTGAAGTTACGGTCGTTTATAACTGTCTTGGCCAAGACGCTACCGTCAGGCCTTCCTCTTCGAGGTGACCGGTATACCGACCGCGCGCTGCCGCCAGCGACTCCCGACGTAAAATCATCCTGATGCAGCGAACCTATCGTCGAAATGCAAAGATTCCCTTTGAGGGGCTTTTGCCACGACCAGAACTTCCTGGCCGAATCGAACAGACCTTGATTATGCAGCGAAACCGAAACCAACAGTTAGGCCATCTCGAAATGATACCAGAACTTGTATTTAGCACGCGTGCAGCCCGTTATCTGTTTGACCCGCGTGTGAAAATGGAGCGTGACTACGATTCACCAAGCTCGTCCAAGTCAAGTGACGACATGCATTCGAACGGTTCGCCGTTTGCCTTCGGCCCGCGGACATCGCCTCTGGGGGAACGACCCGCAGCCTCATCACCGATCCAGTGGATCCGCCGAAATATGTGCCCAGATGCCGCTTCGTGTACCTAGCTGTGCCACTTCAGAGGCGAAATCTGCATCCTTTGCTTTGCAAGCGCCCCTAGTTCGATTGGCGTCCGTCGCAGTTGTGTTTGCGCGAAACAGCATACGTTTTCTCGAAGCTTATGGCTGTCTGCGAGTAATATCCTGCTAAAAGGCGGGACTTTTTCTGCACGTGCTTGGGAACTGCATTAAAAGAACCGTGTTTCAGTAGGGTACTACCTAGGAGACTATATAATTCGAAACAAAATACAAGACACCCGTCGACCAACGCTTGTTATCCCCCCCATCCGACAAACCTTTGTGTTTTGTGACGTCACGCAGCACTTACGGATGTCAGCCATTGACAATGGCGAAATTTAGGGTGCAATTTCGTACATAGGCTCATGAAAGGTTTAGTTAATAACGGGATATTATATACCAAAATAAAAATGACGTTTGTCTATATGAAGGCTCCCTCAATGTAACGAGCGCAACAACTTAAGTACTTCCGGTTTCGACCGGACAATCCCTTTAAAGGGGTACGGAAACCAAATTCTGGAGCTCATTTCTTTGTTTCAACACGACGCAGGTAGCAGCACAACCACAGAAACATAAATATTGCGCTAGAAAACGCAAAAAAAAAAACATATTTTAAAGTGAATTAAACGATAATCAAAAACCACCTGGTAGTTGGTTATGAAGCTTCAATGGAATGTCGTGACGACAACATGCCTCTGAAAGCAGCGCCGCAGCGGTATGTCCGCTCACTGGTATAGATTGCCTAGGCCTGAACGCAATACCGAGGCGTCTTGGTGGAAAGAGCCAAAACGAAGTGAGCCACCTTGGTTTCAGCTCTCGCGCGACGTGCAAACGCGTGCTTCGGTTGTTCTCAGGTTTGGTGCGCGTGCTGGCCCCGCGATATCTACAGCCCTTGGGTACTTCGACAAAGCGAGATTGTAACGCGTTGACGCCTCCAAGTGGCAAAACTCGTCACTACGGTACGCTTGGTCGTCCGAGGCATGATGACGTCAAGACGTCTGCCGGATCTCCCGAGATGCATCGCGCTCCTCCATGGCTGATTTTGAAGCGCTCGCCAAAATCGCGGCATTTAGAGCATAAAATATAGCCATGTGCTCAAAATACGACCGTGCGATTATTCATTACAGGCTTAGCTGATCATATTGAACTCATTTCTTGATGTTTTCTCTATATTTCAAGTTTCGATTCCGTATCCCTTTAAGTTAAGACAGCAATTGCATCCGCACGCTGTCATGCTGCAGGCAGGAGAATAGAATGCCGCGTTTCCTATCGTCACAGTGTGGCAGTATGGCCTAGCATTCTGGGCACACCCCATGCGGAATTTTATCGCGTTCGGTTATCATACGGTTGTCGCCTACTCTCTTGGCGGTTTTGAAGCTGGGAAAGGCATTGCTCTATTAGGTGCAAAACAGTATTTCCTCGCCCCACGCACACGCTCGCTGAATGGGTGGTGGCCGATGCATGCATTTCTCCCGAAGAGTCACCGGACCGCCTCCGCGGAGCCTAGAGATATCTAGCGACACTCACAAATGAATGTTCCTTTCTGTCCCCGCTTTGATCTCAAAAATACGATTCTATTCCAAGACAACGGATGAAAAAGCTTGAAACAGAATTGAAATGAACCGCGTCCGCATACTTAGGGAGCGGCACAAAAAAGTTAGGCTTAGCGGGGGTCATGCTAAGCGAAAAGTAATGATCAAAAACAGGCAGCATCCGAAAGTTGCGTCTGCCCATTATTTATATAAACGTATCAGTGACGTCACGGATACGTCATACTCTTAAGCCGGGGTCGCACTGCTTAGACATCCTACAGAGGGCGGTCTCCAAACATCAGACACCGTGGTTCGAATGTCGCTTGCCAAATTTCTCCCTGAACTCGTTGCCATGCGGCATTCGAAGCATGGACCTCGTGGTGACTTGCGTTCGAATTGGTTTGCAGACTGACATTTGTATTGTGCATAAGCAGTGTAACCCCGCCTTCAGTGTTAGTGCGGCTAAGCGTTCTTTTGTTTTTGCTCGAATGGTTAAACACTGGATTCCTTTTGCTCAAGCAGGAACAATTCTTGGTTTGAACTTGCTTCATGATCAATTTGCCGAGATCTTGTTTACTACACACTGAAGGTAATGGCGTCTGCAGGATCGGCTTTGTCGTAGACGAGATCGCTCCCTCTTTTCTGTGCCCTTTATGCTCAAATATACACGTTTTTTTTTTTTTGCATGTTTTCAAGGTGAACGGTTTTCGACTTGAAAGAGAAGTTCAAACATCACACATTGAGAAGCATTCTGGAATTTTATTTAGAAAACAAAATGTTTCAAAATGACCCAACAGTGAGAACATTTTTAGATCGGTTTAGTGCGATCAGTATAGAAAACAATTACCGGGCGCAAGCCGGCGCCACTTTTGGCGGAAATGGTCAAGACTACGTTCGGAGTGCCTTTTCAGGTGACGGTTAAAGTCTTACAAGGAAGAGGCAACTTCGAGAAAAGACTGCCAATGTTGTTTTTTTTTTCCACCGCTATACCACTTTTAGGAATCGTAGTGGAAGCTTTTTAACGTCGATTCCAAAGGGATGCCTACCTGCCTTGCTGTCTCGACCAGAACGTGCGAAATCACGATCGGCGACATGTTTACCCAAATAACCCTAATCATCCCACCCATCAGGGCATCCACCCAACGCATTACAGTCTTCACTCCCGGCCCCATGCCGTCGACCGTGATGTATTGCCGTTCCAGCCGCACCATTTCCAGACTTTCGAGCACCCACTTGCTCGCCGCGCCTTCCGTCTTGGTCACAAGGATCTGTCCCTCGATCCTGGACATGGGAGCGACGGTGCGTATGGACCCGTTAAGTCCAGAGCACATGGTCCATGGAATGGACAGCTGGAGGAACTCCGTAGCGCGGAGGCTGAACTGGAGGACCCTCTCGCTGTCCCTGCAGAACGTCTCGTAGGGCCGATCTGGCTTGAGACCCGCCAGACCGCTGAAGCTGGAGTTCCCCAACGTGAACCCGACGTCCGAGTCGTGGTCCTGGAAAACGCCCGTTGGAATCGCGTCGTGGAAGTCCGCCGGAAGTGCCGAGAAAAGCTCGTCCAGCTTGTCCTCCCAGTTGGGGTCCAGTGGTGGGCATTTGTCTGCAATGACATTAAAAAAGAAAAACACGAATTTCCGCTGAGAAGTACTTCATTTCATTTCATTTGTTTTGAAGTGGGGTGTGGAAAGTACAAAAGGTGCATAATTGCACCTTACCAAGGACCTGTGCCCCTATACAGGCTCCAGAGCGTTTCAACCAATACAAATCACACACAAGTTAGTTAAGAAGAAACAAAGACGATATTGCCTATAGATTTTTGGGCTGTATGTTATTTATGATGGAAACCATTAACATTTATTCTATTTCTGATGTCATCTTTACTCTTTCAGCCATATCTAGAATCAGATGATGCATGTATAGAAGTTGGGAAATTTGCAGTGTAAATGTTTGTTGAAGATAGTTCGTACGTATTCGCCCTTTAGCATATTCCACAGATTTTACGTTGTAGCGAGTATTTCTTAGCGGAAATTGGGTGTAAAATAAATCCGTTCCAGTTTTGAGATAATGAAAGATAAATTGTGTACGGCTCAAAAGTATTAATTGCTGTACAGTAATCAAGCGATGTTTTTTAATAGAAGCATATGTGTGATCATCATGACCAAGACACTAGATGGATCAAGATCACTTTTTTTCTGGAGCGCTAGTAGCTTTTCAATGTTGCTTCTTGTTGTCGTTCCCCAAATTAATGAGCAGTAATGTAAATGAGAGTGAACGAGTGCGTAGTATAATTGGCACTTGAGCCATGTTGGTCATAAATATCTTAATTTATGTAATATTCCAATTGATATGCAGAGTGTTAAAGGTAGCTTGGACAAATGAATTCATAGCGAGACTTTTTGGTCCTAATATAATATAAATAATACCTTTATTTACATCGACTATGATGGAGACTCAAGGAACAAGCTTTGTAGTGTACGGTATGACAAACATCGGACTCCTCCGCTGATCCCCAGTAAGCAAAAATACAAAATACAAAAACAAAATAAACCTGCACAAAAATACTAAGGTTAAAACAAATCATACGTCTTGAAAACGCACAAACATAAAACAAAATTGCATACTTCACAAAAATTATGCGCAACAATGCAACCTTACATTATAAATGTTAGACCGCGTACATTCACACTATATTTATACATCGATTATTGAATAAACGTGGTAGCGCGAAATTGGGAAATCTAGTGCCATAATTCGATCACTCTGGCTGTCAGAGCCACTGTATATGGAAGATCTGGCCTGCCAGAGTAACAACTGTAGAAAATCACTATGGGAATGAGATCACTCGCGACAACTATTCCGTGAGTTCAATCGCGTAAGTTATTCCAGCGTGGTACTAATCCGGAATACATATATTAATGCAACAACAGTCGAGAGGCGGGCGAGCCGCCGTGTCCGTACCTTGCCCTCATCAGCTAAATTTAGCGGGAATCCATGGCCACTTGGTCACCTGGCTGGTGCAACAGACCAGCTTGAAGACGAGGTCTACGCCTGCCCCCAAACGTCAAGGCTAGTGAATCTAAGCAGCGCCGCCTAGCGAGCGTCAGCATGACTGCCAGCGCGTCTGACAACGAGTGCGACGCTAGCAGCTGGCGACGGAGTCATTATAATGTACGCTAGAGGTTCAAGTGGCGCTAGTGTGCTGTGGCCAATTGAAGCAGACAGCAACCAATCGGAAATCGACATCCGGTAATGAATTTCTATGGGCAAAAGCGAATGCATTTTCTCTCTGCGCTCGAATATAAAAGCAAATATCACGAATAATTCGTACGTACAGGTAGACTGAACATTTTTCAGTCATGCGGACGAAATAGTTGGTCAGTTACGGCCTTTTCATTTAAAACTCGTGACGTTAAAAACGATGCTAAAGTAGCTTTGTTGGTAGTACGTGTATTTATATGCACTGTCGGACACTGCTAGCGCGAACACGACGTTGGCACTTTCCAGCATGGGGGATATACGTGCCACACGAACGAAGGACATCTGGAATACCAAAAGAGACGACAAAAACTACATAGTAACATTTGATCAGTAACTCCTTGTGCATGCAGATGATCAAAATAAATTGCATGCCACGTAATATAGTCCGATTTGCAATAAATAAGTATCTCTTTATTATTTCTGCTCATGAATATGTGCAAAAATGATTGTTCTGCACTGAAAACATCATCCGCACGCTCGAAATCTTTAAATATAGGGAAACGCCACAGAGCAGGTGGAAGATAAAAACGATCCACATAAGAAATGATAAAAGGACACCTCTAATAGCCCCCTAGAGTATTCTTTACGCCTTAAATGCTTTTAACCGCTCGTAAAGATGCAGGACGGGGTCATTTTTATATAGTGAAAGGGTGGGCATATTAGCAATATACATGTAAGGGTCATCGCTTTGAGCCTTGAACACACTGTACATTTCTTTCGAACGTTATTTTGCTTAGAATCGTCGCTCGTTGGTTTTAGATACCTGCCATGGAACAGAGGTTTGGGCCTGAAATATAGCGAGATTTAACATCGTTCAGTGGTAAAGAAAAAAGCTGTAACTAAAGCAATTACACTTTTATAATCTTGATTAAGTTACCTGCCATTCGTTGCGACCAAAGTAACAAATGTTGCCTATATTATTTTCCGGCGAAGATATCAAACGCACGCGCGTTTTCCCCTAGGAATGCACAGGAGCACCGCAAAAATGGACTGGTTACTGTCTGCTTCAATTTGCCTCCCGGAAGTCGCATAGACACTAGCGCCAGTTGAACCTCAAGTGTGCATAACTCTATGGGAGGAAGCGTCTGGCATTTTGCGGCGTCCTTCGCCGACCTTCAGCGTGTTTGCCGCTTGGGGATCCACTAACGATGACGTCATACTCAGGCCTTGTCTTCCACACTATAAGAAATAGGGGGTGTACAGTGGTACTCCCCTTGTCCCATATGTAACTCCCCAAAATATCGTCGAGCTGGCGATACTATCTTTTACAAGCGGCGTGATAGCGGATATAACATAGTAAAGACTACAATAACAAAATACTGAGTTTTTGCAGCTGGGCCGAAAAAACCTTGTTTGTCTTAATGTAGCCTTTAATGAGTACATTAGTTATTTTAACATGTTGTATCGCTCGACCATCAAGGCGTTCGTAAAAGTTGGTATCGCCAGCTCGACGTCGGTGGACAGAACGACGAGATTTAATTTTGGGGAGTTACATATGGGACAAAGGGGAGTACCCCTGTACACCCCCTATTTCTTAGAGTGCAGATGACACTGGCCGGTAAGTCACCTGGTTGCGTGATCGCGCGACACACGTCAGTCCATTCCGGCTCACGAGGTGTCACGTTGTCAGGTCGTGGTTTCACGTGATGCAGCTAACATGGCGTCACGCGTCATTGTGACAAGTTACGTGACGTCACGAGACTCCAGGATTCGAGACCGTGACGTCACGCTGCCAAGATTTGAGTATATAGCTAATAAACTCAGCAAACAGGACTTTTTTTTTTGTTTTTTATTCCTAGAGTGACGCGAAAGGTGACTGTAATCCTTGCGCAGGTTGCATTTATGCCTCGCTTCTACTACCGCCATTACACTGGGAATGAAAAAGTGCCCAAGACTCCAAGTTTGGGACACATACTTTATTGACGTAATAATAACGCTACATTTCTAAAAAAACAATGTGCTCATACCTGTTTCATCGTGACGAATACGCGCCGTGGCGCTACCTAGAACGAGACAAAGGAGGGCGACCTTGTCGAATACCATGTTTCTTCCTCTTCTGGATTCTGAAAAAAAAAAAAAAAAACAGCTTTTGCATGATTGCATGTAAAATTAAGTCCATCGTTTTTATATACAGACGTACGCTAATACTATATGACTGCTTTTATGGTTACAATTGTGTTTTGAGAAAAACCTGCTTTTCTGATTTTTTTTTTTTTTTTTGTAAAGGTACACTTTTTACAGGAAAATAGACACATTTCGATTTGTTTAAATTTTTTTCTAGAAGACATCGTTCTGCAAAATATAATCGCTTCTAATATATCGCAATTTGTAATTTTTAAAACTATGAAGGAATATTTCTTATGTCACGTCTCATGTTATATCGATTTATATTCGCAACCTCGGCCCAAAAAGTTCCAAAATTTCGAAGTAAATTCATTATGATAGAAAGGTGGTCTAGTTGGTACATCACTGGACGGAAGCGCCGAATAAGGAGGGACGAACAAGTAGGCAGAGACGAAGCGCACTCACAAGTCTACGTCTATTGAAAACAACATACTATGAATGCAAAAAATGTTCCAGAAGGTGATAAAACAAACTACTCCGACTTGGCATAACAAAAATAACAATTTAATCAGACGTTTCGTCTTCCATACATGAGTCATTATCAGTGAAGCCAAGAGGCAGCAATGAGAGAACCGCGAACCAGAAAAGCTATTTGGATAGGTTCGCATACAGTTCGGGAAGGGGGCCGTGGTTGGAGTTAGAAGCCGATTAATCACTCCGGATGCTCCATGATTCCAAGTACCTTCGTGGACCTCACCTTTGTTCGCGCGCCAAGATAGACGCGTTCTCGAAATCGAAACTGTGACCCGTTGTCCACCAATGGTCAACCAGCTGTCTTTGCCCTAGGGGCATGCGTGGCTTTCGCCACATCACATTTGTCTTCTTTCATACAGGTGCAACGTTTGCGGCCAATCTCCCCAATATGCGATGCGTCAGAATCTGGACAGTTCCATTTAATACACAGCACCACGCTGGGACTCTGGGAAGGTTTTGTCTTTTGGTTTGGAAACGAGGTCACATAGTTTAAGATGGGGTTTGAAAGCTGTTCGGATGTTTAAAGAGGCGAAGAACCTGCAAGTGGACTCAGAAACGCCTTTAATATATGGAAATGTTACTTTCCCTGCTCTATTACGATTTTTATTCTGATGTCCACCTTGTGCCACCTGCTTACGCGTGTTTTCGATAAAAGGTCTAGGATAATGTCGCTTCAACAGCGAATCGACAAGAACGGTATCTTCAGATACTCGTAGTTCCGGATTAGAAGAATGTGTTGGACCGATGTAGCAAGGTTTTTAAGAATCCTCTTTTACTCTCAACCGGATGATGTGAGTTGAAGTTTAAGAAGTTATCTGTGTCGCAATCTTTACTTTACACAGTTTTTTATGTGTGCTCGTTGTTGTTACGACAAAGGAAAGACAGTGCGCTGTTCTGTTCTCCTTCACGTGTGAATCGGATTCACGGTTCAACGCTGTTCAAAGTTAAATGAAAGCCATTAACATGGTCTTTGTTTAAAATTATGAAAGTGTCGTCCACGCTACGCCGAGAGAAGCCTACTGGGTGCACAGTCCGCTGTAGTGGGGACATTTGTAAACAATGACGCAACACCTAAAGAAGCCATTACGTTATCCTCGTCAAAGAAGTGACCTCGAGCGTGGTTGGTCTTCCGAAAGTTCACAGACCCGAGTGCCCATTGCACCCGATTGTTTCCTTCATTGGTTCCCCCACTTACAGCCTGTCAAAATATTAAGTTGAACTAATTACTCTAGTAACGGGAACAAACGATTTGACCGTAATTCTGAAGAGCTTGTGGGCCACGTTCGAAATCACGTCCTTGACTAGGACGCCGTGATGGTTTCTTTGAATGTCATTGGCTTGTACCTCCAGCCGTGGCCTCCTTCCCGAAGTGTATGCGGACCTCCTTAAATACGATGTCTGGTTGGCGTTTCTCTCATTACCGCCTCTTGGCTTCATTGCTAATGTATCCCGTATGGGAGACGAAACGTCTGATTGAATTGTTATTTCTGTTGTGTCAAGTCGGTGCAGTTTGTTTTATCATCATACCATCAGTACCGCCTATCTGGCTGCTTGTTTAGTGAAAAAAAAAAACGTATCTGTCAGGCGTGACGGCGCACTAATACATGTGCCCTTCTCTTGCTCTCTAATGCGAAATGCGTCGAAACTTTCACGGGCGGTTTTATCTGCGTAACTCCCGAAAATTGGTGTTCTTGCCAATTCCGGGTCGCATGTTACCATCGCATGCACTGCCAGATTGCCCAACGGGGAATGTTTTATTGACCACGCACGTTCTCTTGCCCTCTCGTTAATGCATCTTCCCGATTCTCCGACATACAAATTTCCTTGTGAATGGGGCCAGCAATGAACCAACTTGCTCAGCTTAAGCCTATACAAATTTCCACAAGCCATAGGAATGTATACCACTGATACTGCACAATTTATAAACTGCTCTGAGATCTTCTTATGGCACTCTTTGCCGTCTTCTGTTTCTTTCATTTATTTTTAGACATAGATTAGAAGGCTCGCTTAGGACAGAAAACACCGCCGGCACTTGGAAGTGTGAAGCCACTTCTTTTAGATTGTGAGGCAGATTATGAATGTAAGGGATCACCGCCGGTCTAGTTTCGTTTCTAGCGGGACTCAGTGCGTCATAACATTTTTTTTTTTAGATCGGAAAGCTTCGTCTCTGTCTACGTCTTCGTCTCCGTTTATTAGGCGCTTCCGTTCAGCGAAGTAAATTTATATCTGATCACCATTATAACACAAAGTTGCAGAGGCGGAATTCGATTGGAGCCTGACCGAGCTCTTCTCTGTACGAAATATAGACACCATTTAATGCCCGGGGAGGAGAAAGAACCATCTAAGTCACAAAGTTCGAAGCCCAGAGATGTGTTTACATCAGTTTTTTACGGTATATGACTCAAGTGGTTTCAATGTCACGAAATGACAAAATTATGACCCAGGCAGGCTTAAATCATAAAGAATCGGACGGGACCACAAATTTCATATATCTTGAATTTCCGCGATATCGCGAGAAAACCGAAACAGATCGCTAACCTTCGTCACCTGAAATCGAATTACAGTGCATACCCACTCTCTATCCACGACACACAGAAGCTGCTAACGAAAGGTTCACTCACCGATGCTCGGAGGATGACAACGCGAAACTGACGTCAAGGGTGTGTAGTTGTTCTCCACGAGCACGCACACGACACTCCAGGGATTGGACTGTCTTGAGTTGTCAGGAGGACCGTGTCTTGCGCTCTGGTTATATGCTAAGATTTTGTTTTCTCTCTTTACTGATGCTCAAGCTTCACGTCAGCCGAGACTGTAAGTTTAGTTCGTAAAGGTCGGAAAGCCGCCGGCCTGGATGTGCCAACTCTGCGCGTCCGCCGATGCGGATCACATGACAGTAGCGGAGGGTTACTCGGAGGCCGGCGGCGATTGTGTGTTTAAGGCATAGCGTACAAGGTTAACGTTATTTTGGTCGGCGTAGGGCACGACTTGGCTCGTGTAGAGGAGAATGGCTCGGATTGCGATACCGCCGGGTAAGGTCTCTCTTAATCATATCCAGCTTGTTTCTAGAATTACGTAAGGATTGCTACAGCTGTACCAAAGCGGGACGAAGCGTTTGTTTTTGATGTTCGACCTTCGGAGCATGTCGTTACTTTTCGAAGTAACTTTATTTATTAGCCTCGTTTCTCTTCCTCCTAATTACACGTATAGTGCCTGGAAAGCGTTTCTGACGGGTGTGTGTTTACTACCCGGAAAAAAAGTGGTCTTTCGATTTCCGTCCGATGACGTCGTAAAAGTGTCATGTTGTCGCCGGAAGCGATCCTGGCGGTGTCGCAGCAGCGTCTGTAAACGTGGCAGAGGCCTGTTCTGCTGCAGGTTACACTCCAGTTTGACAGTCCAGGGAAGCTCCGACAGACAGAAGTTGGGACGCCGTGATGACAGCGACACCCATGTTTTGCCGGTGCTTTTTGCCGGAACTTCTACGACCAACCGCCAGGATTCCAAGATCTGCCAGTTCAAGCTTTTGTGACGTCATTTGCTTCCACTTAGAGATCATTCTGGATGCGGCGCCGGAATGGAATGCCAGGCACACCAGTGGGACTCGCGTTTTAGGCACACTCCCTCTCGTTGAGTAGAAGTAAGCGGTGCTGTGCTGGGAAGTTGACAAGATTTAGCGTCAACTCTCTCAAAAGTGTTGGAATTCCCACGCTGCCACTCGTGTCAAACAATGGCAGAACGCTTGGGTTCATGCTGGACACAGTCCGGCTTGTAAACTTGCGTTTTCCGTCTCAAGCTTAACCTCACAAGACCTGTCGCCCCCTGACATAGTTTGCGCCCGCCGGCCTCTTCTTCTTAATTCGGAGGTTCAGAGTGCCACTGGAGCAGTTGTTGGCCGTAACGAGTTACAAGGAACGGCGTTACCGGTAACGCGTTACTTTTTTCGGTAACGTAGTAAGGTACTCGTTACTTTTTTCAAAAGAGTGACGGTTAACGTACTTACGTTACTTATTTTAAGTTACGGGTAACGTGGTTAAGTTACTCATTGCTTCTTCCCAAAAGATAAAAAAGAAAAAAAATTACAATTAAATTTTTTTCATGTTTTTAATCGCCAAGTTATGTTGTTGTTTTTTGCGTTTTTCTTTGCGTGTTTTCTCGTGAGCATTTGGGTAAAACCTTAAAAAATAAAAAGATTATGTTCAGTTTCTGCATCTACATAATATTTTTTTTTAAATATGACGCTTATAAATACCTGTACCCTCGAGACAGCTAAACCTGTTAATTCATAATTGGAAAAGTAACGAAAAAGTAACCTGGGTTACTTTTAATCATTCGCCAAGATCCCCCAGAGTACAGCGAATAGCTACTCCAAGTGCGCTTTGCGAAAAAAACAGATGCTGAATATTTCTTATGGTGTGAGGGCTTTTTAATTCAGACTGGTTTCGCGACGGTTTCTCTTGGTAGTTCTGTATAACCTACATCTCTGTTATTTCAAAATATCGTTTCCTTTAATTTTACTCACTGGCCAATACGAGTTTCTTTCGGAAGAGCCCAATTCAAAAGAAAGAGCCGCAATCTAATATTCATCGTCATCAGAACTCGTAAGTACTGAAAAAGTCGAAGATGGAAACCACGACGGACATGGCTGGTGTAGCTCGAGGACGCCAGTTAGGTGGAGTCAAAATTCGATACTGTCTAACCGTTTCTCAAATAATGTTCCTGCTGCCGTTATCAGTAGAATGAAAAACAGAAATCATTGCATCACCATGTCCGCGAATTTCGGTTGCCTTCTCGCACGCTAACCCAGGCATTTATATGGGCCGCTAAGAGCAACATCGGGAGATAAGTGAGCTTTTTTTTCGGCCTGAGCCTGTTCCAGTTTTCAAAAGCAGATCGGATAACGTCCACAACCAACAGCTTATTGCGTCTTGTTAGATGCGCAATCTAATAGAGACTCAAACTTCCCCGTCTCTTTTTTTATATGAGGCTCCAGCATAAAATAATCGCACATCGAGGTCTTGCAGATAAGTGCAACCACCAGAAGAAAAAAAAAGACATTATCAACCAAAGAACACACCAAAAATATCCGTTGAATTTCGCCGAGCTCGTTACAGCCACAACTCGTGATAACATTGAAAGACGCAGGTTTGCGAAAATGCGCTAGCCTCATCTAATGGCTGATACGTTCCAGGTGTATTAGTAGCTGCATGAAAAAGTTTATCAAGAAATTCTAGTAACCTGCAGATGAAGAGGCGGTGGTAGCCGCGGCGTTTTCCAAAGCGTTATAGATATACACGAGACATAGACGATTACTACCACTGAGATTAAAACACGAACCGCTCTGATTGGCTGGGGGAAGCGGCGCCGGCTTAATTTGCTTCCGTTCTGACATGTACACGTTACCGAAATAAAGTAACTAAATTCCGTTACTCGTTACTAACACGAGTAACTAAGGATGTTGTTAGTTGCATGCTATTCAAAACGAACGCGTTACCTCAGCTGGAAAGTACCGTATTTACTCGAGCAATAGCCGCACTGTCTATGAAGAAAGCCTGAGGGTTCGCGTTTCCGCACAGCGCGCAGATTGCCAATCACCGCGTTCGACAGCATGACTCCAGCTGTTTACAGGACAGAGATAACGTCTTCGTGTGAAGATACCATCTTTGAAGGTTGTATTTGAATGGGGAATCGTATTCTCGACCTGGTTATTCGCTACGTTATTCATGCGCAACGCAGTGATTGGCTGTATGTGTGCTCTGTGGGAAAGTAGACGCAAGGGTATTGTTCATAAATAGTGCGGCTATTACTGGAGTAAATGCGGTAATGCGGTATTTTCTCGTCAATCTGAGCGGGTCGTTTGTATACAGGCGTAGACGCTTCCAATATCAGTCGTGCTTAATAATTAATTGCATTTAGCGCGTTCATTCCTGAGTAGCCGTGGCTATTCTGATATACCTTGTGTCATAGCCTCCTCTATACTCACAAAGCCTGGCAGTTCGACGACGGAGCCATAGAGTGCCCGATCGCAGATTTAGAGCGCGAGGATCTGGTGTATACACAGAGCATCAAAGAGCCATTTCTCGGGGAACTTGGACGTGAGCGCACAGCTTTTGCAGCGGCGAGGACCCGAAACAAACTTGTTCGCTCGGGAGAAACGTGTTTCGGCGTCTCGCCGCAGCGGGGTGCCAGTCACGTGGCTCTCCTCTCATCCGTTGTCTGAAGCTCCACCGATTCCATTTCGGCGGCCGCTTTTTTGTGGCGATCTGCCAGGCTTTGTCAGTATGTAGGAGGCTATGCTTATGCACACCTTTCTATGGTCTATCTAGCGTTTTCTCGTCCTGCATATTACAGGCTCGAGCTGAAGTGCAGAACTAGGTTGGGTACTTGTGTTGTGCACGTTCTCCACTAGATATAACAAAAAGTATCGAAAATACGTTATTGTTTCCTCCTCTGTACTTAGGTCGTTACTTCGTTTACGGAAAAAGTACCTAGGTACAACTAACTCGTTACTTGTAACGCGTTAAGTACAAGTATGCCTTCGTTTACGGGCCTCCTGTGACCAGGATGGTGAACATGCTTCGGTAGGCATCTTGCATGTAACATAAACCGCGTTGTCATAGCCCGCTCTTTATATTCAGTCCACATTCCAGAACCTTGTGGAGTTTTGCTTCGCAAGTCGCGGGCAGTGCAGTCATACAGTCAATTCCCACCAAACCTTCGGCGCATGCGTGTATGAAACCACAACTCTAGTTCACATGAGGCGAGTTACAGTGCTTGAGACGATTCGTGCTGCCTCGTGCAGTGTACGCGCGAAGCTCCAGCGAAGTTGTCGCACGTGCAGAAAGACATAAGTTCCCTCGATGAATTGTGGTAGCGGTGGCGTAGCGAGACTGCAGCTAGTGAGATCGGTTTATTCCTCCCTGCATGGTCATGCGAAGCGCGCGCCGCCACCAGCGCGCTGCGTTGCGTTCAGGGGTTTCCCAGGAACTGAAATTAGGGGGCTGTCTAAATTTGTAGGGGGGGGGGGGGGGGGGCATTGAAAATAGAGGAGTCGTTGCGAATTAAGGGGATGCTTTCAGAAAAAAAACGGGGAGGGGGAGGGGTGTACACCCCCTAGAGGGTGTGTAGGGAAAACTCTGGTTGCCTTCCAGCGCGATGGCATCGTATACCAGCTAGGCTTTCTTCCCTCCGCGTCGACGTGCTGCTTCCTTTGCCACCGCTACCTACCTAAAGAGTAATACAAGTACTAAGGTCAGTACCATGGTACTGAAAACGAAGCAGTATATTCATGGGATAAGACAAAACGTTTTGAGTAAAATTTGCAGCACATTTCGCGATTTTTTAGATGAATTCACGAAAATTTAAATCGAAACTGGGGAATTTTATCTCAGTCCGTGAAATTGAAAAAAATTTGAACTTACAATCGAAAATTTTGAACTTTTCGAACTTGTACCTCGAAAGAGCTGGACATCCTTAATTTTTTCAAACTTTAAATTTAAATAAATTCGAAATTTCCGAATTTCTCGAACGACTTGTCAAAATATTCGAGATATTCGAATTCGAAATTTCAGAAACCTTAACATTTTCGAGGTATTCAAATTCCATCCTCAGCGGGGTTCTAAAGTTGCGAACTGTTCGAATTCAAACGTTAGCGAGGTTCGAACTTTTCGAATCTTTTGAAGACGAACTTCTTGAAGTTCGCGGTATCCCTAATTTCAATGTCAAAATCGTCGTCTGCTTCGCACGACCGGAGTGAAAATTTCGACGTCCGCCGTCAAAGTATCTCAAAAATTAATTCGTCGTCTGTGACGTCACTTCCGCAAAACGCGAAAATAGTGGCTTTCTTATTTCGACGTCTC